AAAGAAAGAAAAAGAAACCTGACATTTCGTCTAGCACTAAAATTCTACAAATCTAAGGTTACAAAAATCCCCAAAGCCCGGCCAAAAATACCCGTCTCCTCTCTGCTAAAGGATGGTTTATAACAGAATGGTTTACAGCCTGTTTCCCTTCATTCCACACAGACAGGTGGGTGTTCCCAGAAGACCCAGGCAGTTGTGAGGCAGAAAGGGGTAGACAAGGGCCTTCCCCAGAGCGAGTGGAAGCCAAACTTTTGGGGAAAAAACCTCGGTGCGGTGCGTGTAGGTGGAAAGCACCTATAATCTTATGACTGTCAGGATTTAAAAGATGGTTAGGCAGCTCTGAGAAGCTCTGTGGCGATCCCAGTAGCAGGGTCACCGCTAAGTAATCAGAGAGAAAGTGGGAGCAGGAGGAGAGAGGCGGTTGCCGCTGCTGTGGGGGTGGGATGAGGGTAGGGTGTGGGGGGGGAGGGGGCCGAGTGGCACCCCAGCCTAAGCCACTCACCACGAGCGGGATGGAGCAGATGAGCACCACCAGGGAGGTGGCAATAAGCAAGATGACCATCTGGATCTCTGCGCCTGCGATGCGGCGGAAGCTCCGGCGGCGGCGAAAGTCGCTGAAGCGCGGCACTGCTGGGGAGGCACTGGCGTGGCCCCGACAGGCAGAGGCCAGCGCGGCGGCGGCGACCGCATGGTGCTGCTCGGTGCCCAGCGAGGTGCGGCGCATGAACTGGCGGTGCATGCGGAGTAGCGCACCGCACACCAGCACGTTGCAGAGCACGGTGGCGAGGATGAGGAAGGAGCTGAAACCCGCGTACATGTAAGAGAAGGCGGCGTACGCTGTCACGTTGGTGGTCCAGTCGATGAAGCACCAGGTGTCCGGGTACTGCGGGCGCGAGCGGCCAAGGCCCATGTTGGGTAGCGCGCAGAAGAGCACGTTGGATGCATAGACGGCGAAGAGAGTGAGGCCGGCCAGGCGCTTGTCCACGTAGTGACTGTAGAAGTAGGCGTGGTTGATGGCCAGGTAGCGCTCGATACTCATGGCACAGATGATGCTGAGGCCGGACAGCCCGAAGAAAAGCAGGATAAAGGTGCTGTAGTCGCACAGCGCCTGTCCGCCAGGCCACTGGCCCTTCATGTAGGTGGCGATGGTCACCGGGCTCACCAGCAAGGTGCCCAGCAGGTCGGTGACAGCCAGCCCGCACACCAACGTGTAGAAGGTCGTCTCCTTCTGCTCCTTGCGAGACTTGCACAGTACCACGATGGCCACCAGGTTGCCCACCACCCCAAAAATGAACATCACCGCTGGGATGGTGACTGGGCTGTTCAGCCGGTCCGTGGCAAAGGAGGCGGATGTATTGACCCCAGCTGCGGACATGGCGCTGGCCCCCGACACGCAGCCTTTGAGTGCAAGCCTCGGTCTAGAGATGGCGAAAAAGGGGGAAAGCAGTGAGCAGAAATTATCATTTGCAAACTTAGTCCCAAGCCCAGAGCAATATGCTGACGAGACAGGGGGATTTTCTCGATGGTAGCCTCTAACTCTGGCTACCTAAATCCCCGGGCTCCCGATACGTCTTACAAGGCACACCACTCTACTGACATTAATATTTATAAAGCTGATAACTGTCCTTCCCTTCTTCCACCCATCGGGTTCATTCCCCTGCCGAGATGAGTAGGACCCGTCTCAAGGGAAAAGATACTTGCTAGTGTTATTCCCGACACAATCTGAGTCGACAAAATGCTCTCTGAAAACAAGCTATGGAGGGGGATTCGCAAGGCAAGCGCGTCCTCGCCTCTGCAGTGCGCCCGCCCTCCGGGGCCGTCCAAGGGTGACGGCCCCATCCTACCTGTGGTGGCTGCAGGGGGCACCAGGGTCCGGCCTCAGAGGTCCCAGACCCGCCTCCAACCTGTGCGTAGCCTCGATCCGCTCAGGGTAGAACTTGCTGAGCTTTTGGGTTCTTGTCCAGGCGGATGCCAATTTTCCGGCTCTGGGGTCAGAGAGGCCAGTTTCCAGAGATGTGGAGAGCGAGATGGGCAGCGTGCAGGACACTGCAGGCTGACGCTGGGCTGTTCTCCGACTTTCCCCCGACTTCCAGGGCGAGCCCAGAGCCGCGGGGTGGCGGGTCTGGTCCCGGGTGCTGCGCTCAGGTGTGCGCCCGCGCAGGCGGAGCGCAGGGCGGGGACCCGGCTTCGAATGAGCTGCGGCTACCGGGGCTGGCGGCAGCCGCTGGGGCCGCTCCTGGTGCCCTGGGGGCGGCTCGGGGCCCACTCAGTCCGGGGCTCTGACCTGGAGCTGTTCATCTTCCTCCCTAGCTGCTGGCTTCCCAGCTCCGCTCTCGTCCTGCCAGCCTCTGTACAAACTTTTCTCCTCCTTCAAGTTTCCCTGAAGGAGGCGGGGACGCAGCGCGAGCGGCCCGGGCGTCCATTGGCTGAGGCGAAGGAGGCGGGGCCTGTGATCTGCGGGGCGGGGCCTTTGCTGGGCGGGGCCTGCACTTTGCCGGGCGCTGCAGGCAGCGGCTCTAGGACCTGTGCCCTCCGAGCGCAGTGGGCGGTGGAGCGGAGATCTGGGTGCCTGGGCGCCTCCCCTTGAGCATTTGCAGCCCTGCTGGAGTGGGATCAGCGCAGAAGCTAGCGTCTCGTCCCCGTCACTTTCCTGCCTCCCCAAGCCGGCCGTTTTTCACATCTGCCCGCGGGCCGAAACGCCTGAGTCTTGGGAAGGGAGGGACACTGATTTGGGGCTGGAAGCTGGAGCTTCGGAGGAAGGAGGAGAGGTGGAGCGTGTGTGTGTGTGTGAGACAAAGAGTGTGTGTGTGGCCATATGTGTGTGTGACTGTAGGAGTGCGCGCGCGGGACCGCGTGTGCCCGGGTCGCGGTTGGCAGACCAGGCGGGTGTGTGGGTGGCTCTGGGCGGGGAGGCAGTGAAGAATGCATCCTCTCACCATAAAAGGAAGCAGTTGGCAGTGCCCAGGCTGCAGGCTGCGCTTGGTAGGAAGAAAGAAAAAAAAAAAAAAGGACGGGACTGCAACCTCACCTGGCGCAGGTGGCAAAGCCCTGGGCTTTGCGGACGGGCGGCCCGCGGGTACGGTGGCGTAGGTGAGGGCCGAGGATGCCTCCTTTCTTAGCCTGGGAGCTCCTCCGACTTATAAGAAGTTAGAGCGAGTTCCTTCCTTGAGCCTGTCGGCCTCCGTGAATCTTTTGAAAGACAACTGGAAGATGAGGAGTTTCCAAGTCCTGCGAGTAAAGGCATCACTTCATAGTTGACTCGGCAAAACCTAGTTGCCCAGGTCTATTGTTGGAATTAGACTGGCTTCTCTGATGGGGAAGAGTTTCCCTTGTACTCGTTACTCACTTCTTTCTACTCTGTTTCTACAAACCAGAAGTAAAACCTTGAAGTTGTAAAATGTCAGGAGCAATTACCCGCCCCCATCAGTCCTTTAACAACTAAATGGCGAGGTTGTGTGGGCCTTTACACAATTAAAATTCCTCGCAAAAGCCTTTCTGTTTGCAGCACATATGCATTCAACATACTAAATCACCTCACAGTTTAAGCAGGTTGTTGGATACCTTTATGTGATAAGCTGGCACTTGCTTCTTAAATATTATTTCTTGACTGAACAAACCTGTTAAGAATGTATGTATCTGGTTCTCTAGTTAGTCTCAGTGAGTAATAAGAGAACCACGAAGGGCATTCCAGATTTCAGCTCTTTTCAGGTCATAAAATATCTAGGATCATTCGCTTGCATAAGACACCATTTGGAGGTAGCTTCACTTTGCTCTGTGTACTGTTTCATCATGAGTACTAGAAAGAAAAACGCATGTGCTAGTTAGTATGAGAAGATCGGGTGACAGTCATTGCCTTGGTCTTTTCCTTAATCACCACGTAACCACTTCTGCTGTCTATGCTTCCCTGGCGTGGAGGCCTCTAGGATGGTGTCAGCGTGGAGGACTAATTGACACTAGAGAAAGGAAACTGCACACTATGCCCCTATTCCTTGCTAACCACAGTACTTCACCATCACCCAAGTCGCTTAGTTGTCAGTAAATACATGGAGGGGAAGGAGGAAGTTAATGATGCTCACTTTCTGCAAATGCACACTTTTTTCTGCATTTTCATTGCTCTTGAAGCTCTGAAAATAGGGCAGTTATGATTGGTGCACGCATTAATTTTTCATGATGAAGAATATGTTAAATATAAAAACTGACACACACTGATGAAAAAATCAGCATGTCTATATTGATAAGCTAGGCTTTTGATCAATTGTCTTTCTTCTTACTAGTCTTTTTATTTCTCCCCAGTAGGCTTAAAAAGGGCTTTTAGACTGGGAGTGGTAGCATGTGCCTATAATGCCAGCACTTGGGAGACTGAAAACAGGAGGATCACTCAAGTCTGATCTACTTAGGAAGACCCTGTAGACCCTGAACTAAATACATAGAAAATAAAAATAAAAGTTTTACTGTTAAGCCAAAGCAAGTATGTAAGACTGAGAATATGTGATAAGATTTATCTATATGTTCTTTGAGTGCATGATTCTTAAATTTAGTTTTCAGAAGTAGAAATTGAAGTCTGGGAAATAATCTTATTTCCAGTTTGAAAAACTGGGACAGTGGAGTCCAGTTTCCCTTGCACTCTGCCAGGAACCCACATTGCAAAAGGAAAAGAAGAATTACCACACTTACGTGGGAGAGTCTTGTTATTGTTTGTATATTTCAACAAAGGATTTTTATTCTAATCACTGGTTTTTATTCTCCCTCACTGCCTCGGCCTCAGTGCCAGTTTTTTACACTGGAGGAGGTCAGGTCAACTCTTTAGAACTGTCTTTCTATCCTTTCTAAAAGTTTAAATTAATCTAAGAAATGCCTGCCTGATCAGCTTGTTCTAGCTGTTTGACGGTTCTTTCAAGCAAACTCTTTAAAGTGGGTACTCATTTAAATGTTAAGGCTGCTAAAGGACTGCCGACCACATCCATTTTGATGAGGTTCAATGTTCCTTGGCTCAAAGAAAATGCAATATGGGACAAACTGGGTTCAACCAACAGGAATGGGCTATAAAAGGGAGTAATTCTTAGGAGAAAGGTGGCAAGATAAATCAGATTAGATCTGGACCCCTTACTAAGCCACAGCTGGCAGGATCTTCAAGCATTCCTGAAGCACTAATATCCATGTAGCAACGCCTGTACGAAGTGTGTTTGCTTTTGTCTTTCATGACAGATCATGTGGAGATTCAAAACAGAGTAGAAAAGGCTATCTGGTACAAATAACACAGTACCCTTGGACATGTTTGTCTTCTACACATTCAGCCAGTGGGGCATTCACACAACCCTGGGCCCTGAAAGAGGCCCAAGATGTGGTTGTGGCCTTAATGGCATTCCTCCTGTTTTAGTGGCACATTCCAAATGTGTGGTCTCCTAATTATTTTCATTTTCTAAGCAGTAATTTTATGCTGAGCCTGGTTCCTGGAGTTGTTATACATGTCAGAACTGTGATTAACTCCCTGACATCTTCATGTGGCGATAAATTACTGCTATGGAGGCCAGTTACCACCAGTGATTACTTCAGACTGCTTCCTCCCCCATCTGTTACACTCCTCAAAATAATGGCTTTTTGCTGTTTTATTTTTCCCTCCTTTTTCTACAGTGGTTCCACATCATCCCAATTATGGTCTGGGCCAATAGGCAAAGAAAGGAGACTATTTACCTACTGTTGCCTATTTTTGAAAGTACAGGTGGAAAGATAAACATTAGTTAAGCAGTCTCTTCTACAGCAGAAAGGACCTTCTGATTAAAGTTTAGGTTTTTTTTCCCCCTCACACCCAAATTGCTGTTTAACACTTCAAAAGATACCCAGAAATACCTTGGCTTAATAATCAACACCAGCACCAGCCTCGCTGTGTTGATTCATCACTTTCTATAACATTCTCACACTTGCATTCACATGCAATCTCATTAGCACCTCCCTGAGGGTGTTAAGTAGGTGTAATAGAGACTGCCACGTTCTACCAGATCCTGTTTCCACTTCCTCTTGAACACATAGCTGCTCCCAACTGACTTCTTGTGGTTAAGTACAACCCATGTGACACAGTCAGAGTTCTTGCCAGTGGAATACACAGTTAGACATGATGAACTCCTTTTTTTTGGTACCAGAAATTGAACTCAGGACCACCTGCCAGGCAGGTATTTAAGCCGCTGAGCTATCTCCCAGGCCCCACAATTAGAAATGATGTGTGCATTTCTAGTCTTGGTCCCTTCAACATCCAGGTCCTCTGTGTGTATTATCCTTTTCTGCCGAGGCAACACAAGACTCTGCACAATGTCTACACTATGGCAGAGGCACTTGCTAAGCAGAAAGTGAGTGGGACCCTGGCTGTCTGCATGAAGTGAGGACTTCCTTCCAACTCCAGCGACTCTCGTTGGACTATGAAGGGAATGAAAAATAATGCACTGGGATTTGAGGAGCTCGTTTCTGCAGGTTGTTGATGCTGCTTTGGTACGATTGCCTTCATTTGCTTACAGTGAGTGAGTATGTGGGAAGCTCAGAGAGTGAGTATAGAGAAGCTCAGAGTCTAAAGATTATAAGTAAAGCTGAAATTTAACCAGTCTCTGTGAGGTACTGTGTTAAGTATTGCCTCATTTTCCCACAAACCTATGAGGAAGTACCAGGTAGTAACACCTACATTTTATAGATGAGCAAAGTAAAGGAACATGGGCTACATCAATTTTTTTAAAAAGTCCCTCCAAAATAAGGGTGGCACTCTTTCCTTAGTGATAATCATCATAGTAGAAAGCTGTGCATAACTGCTGGCTGGCAGCGAATTCTATCACAGGAATATCTTATTTATTTATTTATTTATCTATTTATTTTGAGACAGATCTTGTCTGTGTAGTCAAGGCTGGCCTCAAACTTGGGGTGATCCTGCCTCAGCCTCTGGAGT